CTCATGATTTTTATTTAGAGGCGCTATGTAAAAGATTGTTTTCTTTCTTTTTATATGTGATAGGAGACATTATTGAAAAAGTCAATTGTAGTGAACCTGAATAGGCTCTTTTAATTATGTAGAGTAATGGTTTATGCTCTTTTATGAAAGAGGAACCATCCTACATATTTTATAGTTTTAAGATGACTCAAAGGTTGTTTTCATCGATAAACTGTCGATAATATCCGTGTGTCTGTGTTTCAGTTCAATGAAGAGACAAGTTTGAAAGTTAAAAGATTTAATTCTTCAAATTAAACTAATGATTTTGAAATGACACGCATAGGAAACAACAATCAACATTGGCAACTTTGTTGAACAATCTTTAACAGTTGATATTGTAAACTTGCTCAAATAGACCTTGTTTTGGATGTGCTGAAGGTTGGGTGTGATGTGATGTGATTATGGATGTGTGTGTGCAAAATGTAGTGAAAATTGAGAATAGGGTGAGATGAATGCGTGTGTGCATCTGATTTTGCTTCAGGAAGAAACAGGTGTCTGAGTGAAAAGTGATGGTTTGAATAAACTTAGGTTTTGTTGGAAAAGATGCTTCAACGCTATCTCTCATGGACTGCCTCACCGTATTCGGACCCTCTTTTAGACCCGGGACGTCAAAGGACGATGTTTCATCCAGGGGTGACACCTCGGCTGGCAGAGAAGACGAAGGCGTGCTGCGACCCGGTCCAGAGATGACCTCGGTACACGTGATGATGGAGCGTTTGCAGATGGGCTTTCTTAAGTTTAATTACTCAGAAAATCAAAAGACGCGGCACGAGTCTGCGTTAGCGGTTGTAATTCAGCTGTCCTGTCTGGCTTGGCAGGAATAGCGTGGGGGGGGGGGGGGGGGGCAGAAAGGAGCCGGTGGGCTCCGTTCCCCCGTTAGTGGTTGTTCACACGTCCTCTCTCTCTCGTTGACCAACTCGAACTGAATCATCAGACTGAAACTTACCAAAAGCCTTTCTCTTCTCAAAGCAAAACTTGTGCGTCAGCAAATGTGTTTTGGAGTTTACTGTGAGAGAGTGTGTGTGTGTGAGTGACTTTATGTTATGTTATGACTAGCTTTTCCATGAGAACACATCTTCTGGCACTGCAGGTGTTCAGATGTTATGGTTTCTCCCAGACTCGCTGGCGTTCAGGTCTTAATCTGTGGGTGAAAGTTCTGAGCGACCCAGCTCTTGACCCAGCTGGGCAAAGTATAACCTTTTGCACAGAAAACCCATATTTCCTCACGTTACACAATTATCTGTCCAAGAGGATGTATGTATAGTAAAAACAGGAGCGGACCCAAATTAGAGCCTTGGGGTACCCCACAGAACAGATTGGTAGAATCTGACATGATTTGGTTTAAACAGACACTGAAACTTCTGGTAAAAATGTATAATCTGAGCTAGTCTACAACAGTTCCAGAAATCCCCAACAAGTCATGAAGTCTATTAAGGGGTTGTGATCAACAGTGTCAAAAGCTGCAGAAAGATCCAACAATACAAAGACTGCATCCCATTGTCTGCAGCCATCATGATGTCACTGGAAACTTGAAGCAAAGCTGTTTTTGTTGAAGATTTTTTCAAAAAACAGATTGGAATTTACCAAAACAGTTGTGTAGAACTGTTGTCTAGAAAAGTAATCAGATTATTGGCCATAACTTTTTCTAATTTTTTAGAGATAATGGGCAATTAAGAAATAGGTCTGTCATTTTTAGGCCCAGTCCAAACTGGATTTTTTTTTAACATGCTTGTTTGAAAATGGAAGGTACAGAGCCAGACTGGAGAAAGAGCCATCCTGCCTGTCTTAAATTTCTGAACTTAAATGGATAGCTTTTAAATGTGAAGGAAAGCTGTACCCATTTTCTGTAATATGTCATCTAAATTTTTTTTTTGGGAGGAAATAAAATGAAAATCTGATTGCACAAATCTTTTGGCAAATGTGTTCAAGACTGCATACTGGAAATACGCAGATTCATTGCAGGGGTTGCAGCATGGGTCCTCATTTCTTCAACTTTGAACGCAGCAGCTGGGGATGGTGCTGCAGCTGCGGGGTGGATGAAGACGCGCTTGTGAAGAAGACGGGGTGACTTCAGTTATACAGGCCTGGTTTGGATTTAAGGAGTCTGATGTTGAACAGAAAAACCTCCTCATTAAAATATTCTGGGTGATAGTATAGTCCTATCGGCATTAATAGCTTAACGCAAATTAAATGTCGTTTAAAAAGCACTTTCATCTTCCTCATCTGCTGACTTGACACTGACAGTAGGTACAGCTATCTCTGTCAGAAGAAGTTTGCAAGCTAATCCTGGTGTTATATGTCTGAGGTTCTTAATCTTACTAAACAGCTCTTTGACAGCTTTCTTTGAGAAAGTGTCAGAATTTGTCCATCCATCCATCCATCCATCCATCCATCCATCCATCAGGTCATGGGGGCAGCATCTCAACCCTTTATCCATAGCTAATGGAGATCTAAATAAATAAATAAATAAAACTTCTTTACCAAGGAAAAAAGCAACAGTCATTCAACTTTTGCATTTTTGGGGCAATAAGGGCTTTAGTTAAATGTAAATTATTAATAATAATATACCAGTTGTAATAACATGAAGGTAATATTAATGGAATATAACATTGCCACGTCTTTTCTTCAAGCAACTCCATATTCTTTAGAATTACTTTGTTTTACTGTTTATTTTACTTGTTAAGTTCATTTAATGCTTCAGTGAGATGTAGTGACTTCAGCTATGCTCCACCAATTGGTTGAGCAGCTAGGGAAAGGGTTTTAAGAGGTGAAGCCCAAACTTGTTCCAGCTCCTCCAGGGGGATATGGAGGTGTTCCCAGGTCAGCCAAGAAACATAGTCCCTTCGGTGATCCTCACTTTGTGTCTCAGGAAACAAAAATATTGGATCCTCAACAAATTTGTAGGGTGGGGACTCAACAGGTGGTGGTGGTGGGGGGGGGGGGGGGGGGGGGGGTCTAGTTTTTGGAACTCTTGATAGGTTTGAGACGTATAATTCCTAAAACAGATGGATTACTTTTGTTTATGTTTGGAATGTTGACAGAGGCAGTGGGCAGCACAAAGAGATGCAACATGATGATTAACATGCTATATTCCCTTCCACATGGTTCAGATTTTACGCATCAGGTTTCAGTCCCGTGTTCTGGCATCCTGATGTGTCCTCATGTGTGGGGTTGCTTCTCAACCAAGCGAGTGGACCACTCACAGCTTGTCCCCAGAACACAGCACTGACTTTCAGTGGAAGCACCGAACACCAGCTTGGTGATGAACAAATTCTTCTCCAGCGTGATGGAGCACCAGGCCAGAAAGATAAAGTTAGAACTAAGATCAAGAACAAAACATCAGCATGCTGGGTCCAGGTGCAGGAAACTCCCCAGACCTTAATACCTCTGAGATCCTGTGGCCAGAAAAGTGGAAAAAACCAAAGCCCACACATTCTGACTAATGCCCAACATTGATGAAGGAGAAGGAGTGGTTATCAGTCAGGAAGTGGACCGGAAGTTGATTGACAGCCTATCAGGACGATAAATAGATCTCTAGACAATGAACTGGCATGTTTCATTAATCACTACTAATGTGATTAATTGTTTCCAGCCTGTTTAACAGTTTTTATTAATAACTTTGATCCTGATTTTAATCTATTGAACTTCTTTATCTCTGAGATGATTTCTAATCTGAATAATGACTCTAGACCAAAAGACCCTCCCATGGATGGACAGAGATGGTGTATGAAATGGTGTTGTGGACTTACCATACATGTTTCTACTGATTCACATGCTTAAAGGTCAGACCCCTTAGGGATTGGTAAGTAGATAAATTAAGCAAATTCAATTTCCCCATCAGTCGTTGCAATCAGCAGCCTCTTGTGTAAAGCTCAATCAGAGTTGCTGCACTGGAACTGAGCAGCAGCCAGCGTTAACAGGATAATTCATTGTCTGGTTTAAACGTTTACTGTTTGTTTTTTAGTAGTTTGTGTCCTACAGCTCAGCAGCAAACTGGGAAATAGTTCATGTCTACAGATAGAAGTAGATGAGTAATTAAACAAACACTAAACTCTAAAGTTAACTTCAATGAAGATACAGGTAACTTTAATTAAAGGTCAATCCCAGTTTGTTTTGTTAATTATACACAACACCAGCGTGTGAATGGGTGTGAATGTGTGTGAATGGGTGAATGAATGACTGTGCTGTGAAGCGCCTTGGGTGGTTAAACACTATACAAATACAGACCATTTACCATTTTTTACCATCCTCCTCCTAATTGAACACTTTCTCTGTGACAGTGAAAAACTCGCATGTTCAATATTTGTATCTGTAAATATGATACAAATTGCTGCTCATCTAAATCTTTGACACTTTTTTCAAACTTCGCACAAAATCCCTAGCCTGGCCTGTCAGACTCGTCCTCTGTTTAACTCTGAACAGAGAATGAGTCTGGTAACGCTCCCATGCAAGTAACCCCACCCCACGAGAATTCTAACCGAGCCAATCAGCGCTGAGCAGCGTGTGTCACGCACCGCGATGCTCAGTTCCTCATAAACAACGAAGATGGCATTTGAAGTGGAGTTCGCCACGGCTCTTTCCTGTTGGACATAACAGCCTTTCTTCTAAAGAAAGATGTTTGCGCCATCGCCATGTGCCAGTTTTGACTACATCTGAAAGACTACAGTGTTGAGTGGTACCGTTGGCATTTCCACATTTTTTCTGATTGGTTACTGTTAAACTGGTTAGTCCCACCTCTCATGTGCCTCTCTGCCTTTGAGTAACCAGACGTATGCTGCTCAGTGCTGATTGGCTCGGTTAGAATTCTCAGGGGGTGGGGCTATTTGCATGGGAGAGTTGCCAGACTCATTCTCTGTGCAGAATTAAACAGAGGACGAGTCCGGCAGGCCAGGCTACAAAGTCCCACTGATAGCAGATTGCTAACACATCTTTGTTTTCTCTCTCTCTCTGTTTGTGTGCAGGTCGCCAGTTGCTCACGTGATCTCCAAACCTGCAGGTGAGCAGCTGTCCAGCACCGCCGTGAGTGAGACCTCCACCACCATCACCTCTTCCACTGTGGACACCACGTCTGCCCCCAAGGTAAATGTGTGTGTGTGTGTGTGTGTGTGTGTGTGTGTGTGTGTGTGTGTGTGTGTGTGTGTGTGTGTGTGTGTGTGTGTGTGTGTGTGTGTGTGTGTGCTGGCCATAGCATTGTAACCTAACAAAGTAATTTTTATCTAGCGTTGATTTTAGCTCAAAGCCTTTATGACACTAAAGGATCTGGAGGTGATGTGGAGGTTTTGGTGTTGAGATGTTAGAATCAGAACCTCTAGGAGCTGTAATAGGGACAGAATGGTTCATGGGAAGTTAGGATCTGTTCTCTGAGGGGGTCACGGGCTGATTGGGATGGGGCTGCAGCTGTTATGCAGAGATGTTGTTTAAAAAAAATCATGAAAAAGTAATATTTTTCAGTAATTCCACTTAAACTACAATAAACATTTATATACAGCATTACATGTAAAGCTAGATATGTCAAACCTTTATTTGTGATGATTATGGCTTACAGCTTTTTAAAACTCCAAAATACAAAATCTCAGACAACAGGAATGCTGTGAAAAGGTTCAATATTCCAGACACAAAGTGTCACACTCTAATCAGCTAATGAATCCAAAGCACCTGCAAAGGGTTCCTGAGCCTTTAGATCAGTGCTACTCCATAGGCAGTCTGCTAACCCCACTTGTCTAATCAAAGCTGGGAAAATCGATAAAGGGACAATGGTGGCAGAGGAGTTAAGTGTCCACCCCGTAACCCTCTTTGGACAAGACCCTTAACCCTCCTTGCATGGCAGCCTCACTTCTGTGGGTCAGCCCGAGGCAGCAGCAACTACATTGTGGCTCTTCACCATCTGCATGTGAATGTATGTGAATGACTATTTGGTAAAGTGTCTTGGGGGGTTCTATGACTAGAGAAGGGACTATATAAATACAGGCCGATTACCATTAAATGCCATTTGAGGTAAGAAAATGTTAGGACATCATAAAGCATGACTGAAGAAGAAGAAGAGGAAAGTGTCATTTCTATAGCGCCTCACAAGATCAAAATCACGAGGCGCTTCACAAAACAAAAAATGTAAAAATATAAAAAAATAATTTAGAAAATGATTAAAAATATATTTAAAATGAGCAAAAAATAGACTATTGTGATTTAAAAATGTAAAAAAAGAGAGAGAGTGACTAGGAAAGAGGGAAATCAGTGGATCCTGAGGAAGGTGGAATAGGTAGGGAGAGCAGAACAAGGAGAGGGCGATGGAGGTCCCACAAAAGCCAGCCTGAACAGGTGAGTTTTCAGCTGCTTTTTAAAGGAGACCACTGAGTCCTCTGATCTCAGGCTCAAGGGGAGACAGGTGAAGGGATCAAAGAAAATTTGGGTCATTTGGGCAGTTAGTAGAAACAGATGTTAAGCCTGGGGCACACAGAAGACAGATGTGCTGCGCCATGTCAGTCTTGTGCCGTCATTTTAAAAAGAAGCCTTTAAAGTTACTGAGAGCCACACGGAGCGCAACACCATGTCCCAGAAGTGCCAGTCCGCACGGAGGTGCTGAAGATAGGCGCCAGTTCCATTTCAAGTGCCAGTGGCGCAGATGTTTACAACATTGTGGAGTTCTTTACAACAAACATTACGACACGGATTGGTTCTACGGCACAAACCCAACCACAGACTGTAGTTTAGAAACTGTAAACTTTATATGTGATGCTCTATATGTTTCCCACTGATCAGCTCATTGTCCTAATTAGAGAAAAATCAACCAAAACACCAAGTTAGATGGTAATGTGATAAAACTCAAAGGAGCTAAGACCCCCATGGTCCTAACCCCCCTCTCACATACCAGATTAGGTCCACAGTGGTTCCTTTTCCTAACCCATTCCATGTTGCCCTTCACACTGTCAGTGTCTCAGTTTGTTACAAAAATAATTAAATTAGCTGAAGCAATTAGAGGCTCCAACTGACATATTTTAACATAAATCTATTGTTTTCTTATTTTAATTCAAATTTGTAATCATCTTTTATTTGTTTTATGATATTGAACTTTGTTTTCCTGATTTTAATTTGTTTCTCTTTTAAGATTCATATGATTTTATGATTTGTTTTTGTTTTTGACATATGTGAAGCACTTTGTGATTCTCTGTTTGTGACGAGTGCTATATAAATAAAATGTACTTACTTACATCTCGTACACATTATGGCTGGCAAGGTTTCTGTTTTTGATCTATCTGTCTTTCCTAATCTGTTTTTTCCTCCACTCGCTCACACATACGCAGCAAACGGCTCTGTGGTCGAGTTAAATCCTGCCCCATCAACAGGTGCCGTTGGGTCAAGATTGAATACATGTCATCGAGTTGGGAGCAAAAATGACGGGGCATCCATCAGCACCCTCTATCAGAGGCTGCAGCCGCCCCAGATGCTCTGGCTCATCAGGCCTGTCACCCCGCAGCAGCAAAATAGCTCTGCCTCCTCATGTTGACAGGAGCAACTCCTCAGAAAAGAGCCTCGTCCCAGAAAACAGATGAATCGCACGGCTTCCCCGATCTCACGGCGCAGTGCCAGCATGAAATGAATCTGCACTTTGAATAAGTCACATCCGTTCCGCCTCTGACAAAACATCAGAGGGTGCACTGAGACAGAAATTACCCAGCGTCTCTCTTGAGACTTATGTGTCACAATTGTCTTATCAGCGCTTGTCTTCCCAGCTTACTGATGCGTGTTTAAAGACTCTGTGCTAACCAGCCTGATGAGGTCTTCATGAAAACCAATGGCTGCTTCAGTTGGGTCCCTATTACCGTGCCTCATCCCTCATCACTTCCTTGTCTCTTCGTCTGAAAATAACTGAACTCTTCAATGCCTGCTTTCAGCAGTAAAACTAAGTGCCACAACAAATAGATAGATAGATAATCTTTATTGACAGACTGGTCCAGATAAAATACATATAAAACAACAGATCATCAAAATAAAAAAAAACAATTAATGAAACAAAATAGATAAATAGAAATAAAAAGATAACAGCATAAGATTGAATAAAAATCTAAATGTAATTTAAAAACTTACTATAAACTGTTCCACACAAGATTAACCACACAAACACTTGAACCAGTGTTTCCTTATACTGGACAAATAGCGACAACTGCTCACAGTAGGATCAGTGATTGCTAAAATTATACTGTTGGCAGAGCTATCCAGTCGGCCTGTAAAAGTGAATATAAGTTTTCTTAAAAGCGCTTTAAAGGTACAAATGCCTGTTGTTACAAACATCTGACTGGCACTGCCCCCTCTGGGGAACTTTAGACAAAACACTGGCTAGTGCAATCGGCCTATAATTATCCATACTGGTCACCTTCCCAGATTTGTTCTTAATGACTGGAACAAGCAGAATTGCCATCATTGAGTCTGGTAGTATGCCATGAATCATAAACCCTGTAAAACAAAGAGCTAAAAGGGGAGCTAGTGTATGGCTAGCATATTTCAAATGCTCTGCACTAATGTGATCCAGACCACAAGCCTTATTATCAGCTAGTTTGTTAATAGCATCATGCACCTCATGGGTCGTTAAACATATAGATTCATCATTAATTACAGAGCCATCCTCATGCTGATCACTTTTTAAACAATTAAACAATTCATTAGCCTGGCAAGCCAGACTAAATAAATGTATTATTTATTCTGGCCATGCTCCATTGACGGCTCTCGGTTGTGGGGCGGGTTCTACCGTTGTCTTTCAAATGATCTCCGCATGCTACTGGACAATGAATGTGACATACTCTTGTTTCACTCTGTTGCATCATCCCACCCACCAGGCATATAGAGTGCCCTGATTGGCCCACAAAGCGGATAAAGCTCTGTGATTTGTTCACTAAGCAGATAAAGCACTATGATTGGCCTATCATTATGGACCAATCACAGCTCATTATGTGTTTGAAACCCCTCTAGAGAGCTGTGATTGGCTAGCCACAGTCCTGGTAGGAGCTGCTGAGGTTCCAATGGAGCATGCCTAGACCAAACTTTGCAAAGCAAGAATTTGGTCTAGTTCACTAGGCTAACAATGCATAATAATGATGTCTCCATAATGCTGCAATATTATCTTCCCCAGAAACACCTTCAACAGTACCTGGTAGAGATGATTTGCAATTATTAACTGTTTTCACATCTTTCCAAAAACCATTGACATCATTACTCATAAATTTCCTGGCCATATCTGCCCTCATGATCTGCTCATTTTTTGATATAAAACGAACAGCATACTTATATCTGGCATTTGCATGTTTTTTCTGTTCAAATTCCATACCCTGCCTAGGTCTCCCAATCATATCCCAACATTTAAAAGCTACCCGTGCTTCATCCTGATACATGGCAACGTGTTCTTTCCAGCCAGGCCTGATATGAGGTTTCTGCTTATTCTTACCTTTGACATGAAATGGTCTACCACTTTCATACAAAGCGTCCACTATATCCTCATACATAGAGCATAGATCACTTTTGTGTTTGAGAATCTTACAATTGACATCTTTACACAGGATAGCCTCTTTAGCCACAGAGATATTGTTTAGGTATTGATCTGTATTATTACTATAAGCCAATATGTCTTTGTCACTTAATGCTGCCCATTCTAATTTTATATTATCATCATTATTATTGACGTAATTAACTCCCATTGTACTAGGCAGTTGTTCCACATTTATAGAGAAAGCAAAAGGTATATGGTCTGACAGAGTTACCCCATATTTTATAGTCATGCTATCCAAAGCTGCATGTCCATCAGTTGTACTAATACAATGATCCAGCCATGATGTATTATGCCAAGCCTCACTAATATATGTGTAACTGTCTTTTGGCAACAACACTTAGCTAGACAGAATAAGATCATTGTCTTCACACAACTGTGAAGTGTTTAGCAAACTGAGATTTTTTATCTGAAAAACACAACATATATACTATAAGTACTGTGACTTTGAATAAATGCATTAATAAAAGCCAACCTACTAATATATTCCCCTTCATTTCCAGCAGTTTCGTATGGAGTATAAATATTAAGGATAACAAAACTAATG